ATGTCTGCCCAGGTTAAACATTAGGATATTAGTGCTTCTGATGTGTAGGCTTACAATAATGGGTTTGCTATAAGACAGACAGAGCAAAGTGTGTAGCTGTAAACAGTGATACCTAGTTTTCTCATGATAACAATAATGACTTCAAAGTTTCGATGGTTAATTCTTTTCTGTTCTTACGCTGTTTTCACTGTAATGGTTTCATTCTATTGTTTTTAGGTTACCATTACTCTAACAAATACTCAAGATAAAATCAACTTGAAGGATAGAAAGGCTTATTTTGGCTCATGGATTTTAACTGTTGTTAGGCCAAGAATGATTGGTCCTGCTGCTTTGGGAGTAGGGTATTTTAGCCTATCAATGCAGGAACACATGGCAGTGGACTCCATCTTCATGACTGAGACACAGACAGCAGAAGAGGCAGGTTTGGCCCCTCTATAAACATGACAAACCCTGACCCCTCTGACCAGAAGATGACCAATACGCCTGTACTTTTATGCTTGCACTCATTCCCATTAGGACCCATGGACTGGGGTCAAAGCCATTAACACATATTCCTTCGGACACACATTTTTAGACCATGTGGCTCATTAAATCTGTAGAGTGATTTGTGTAATCTAAAACTATTTGAATCATGAAGCCTGAGATTTTTAAATGGTACAGTTCAGTTCTTTGTATTTCCTGTCCTTTGTTCCAGCAACATCTCCTTATATTTAGTTAATGGCACATCATTGTCTTGAGCCCTTTCCCGTGTATGTCCTAGGAGTTACTGAACACTTCTTTTCTTCCTAGTGTGACGTGACAAGATGATCCAGAATGACTTTCTTTATTTTCTACACTAAACTTAAAAACCAGCCATTCCTAACATTTTTTTTAAATGAATACTCCATTCACCATTTCTTCTGTTTTACCCAATTTGCATAAATGCATGCTGACACTATGGAAAGCTGCAGAAAGATCAGTGTTCATTTTAGTTGAAATACTAATGGATCATTGTAGAAAATGTTCCTCAATTAAGGAAAGGAGTTGGATTCAGCTTCCATGCTGCTCAAGCACCATCCTGTCTGTCCAATCTTGGCTGTTCTTTACCACACATGTGCACATGTTCATGTTAATGTCCTGGCGAGTTTAAAATCTTTTCTCAAATCTTTGTGGTATTGGAAGTAAACAGCAGAATTGAATATTACAAGCTCATAACTATTTCAAACTCATAACTAATTAGGTTTTATTTGTATTTCTTTGTTAATATGTGATGCATGGGGTGAAAAGCAGAGTTGTTCTCTTCTGATGTTCTAAAGCATGGTGCAGCTAATCTGTCCACCCCTTTCCTCTCTGTAGAGTGTTCAGCATATTTTACAATGGCTAAAGGCAAATGCTAGCTATTGCTGTTCATTTACTGTCATTCTTTTTATTTTAAATATCTCCTTTAAAGTTCATTTTCCACTTTTGTACTGCAGTATCAATTTCATTGTACCAGTACTACCCAGCATTTCGTTTTGGCAGTGTTTATGGAATGAATCACTGGAATATGTATTTTCCCCCACAAGTCTGATCACTGCCTTGATGTGTTGTCCAAGGGCATAGCCTATTTAAGTGTAAATGTGTCTTTTCATGTTAGCATTCATTTCCAGAGAATGAAATGCTGTCACTGACCCAAGTGAGAGGGAACATTTGCAGGCTTATTTGGAAAAATTGGGTCTTCACACACTTTAGCTGAGTGCATGGAAAAGGCAAGTCGTCCTTCCCTGAGCAAGCTTCTGTGGGTTTCCGTATCTGTGATGGCTCTGAGTCGTTATGTAGCAGTTGGCTCTGATATGCTTGCACAGACACAAATTGAATCCGACAGGACTGATGTCTCCTGGACTTTGCTGCCATCTGAAACGCTGGCTTGAGAAAGAAACAGTGGGAGGGGGAGGGGAGGTATCTTTGAGAGCTGATTCCTGTAGTGCTTTTCCTATGGAGCTTTGCGATTTCTAACAGCTGATAGCTGTGAACTGCTTGATAAGCTGTTTTCCAGATGAGATTGATAACTGATCACTGTTCTGGAACAGCTGGCTAGCTTTCAGATTCAAGATGTGTTTCAGTGTTCAGCTTAATTCTTCATGCCTCTCACAAATCTGTCTAAAAACCAACAAACAAACAAAAGAAGGGGCTAGAGAGCAGAAGATAATTAGATGATTCTCCTCCTCATTTTCACTGTATCTTCCCTGCATCCAAATTAATCTTGCATATTAATAAAAACCCATTTTTTTTTTTTGAAGAAGGGATAACTTGTCCCTTTCCTCTTCTCCAGGGGACTATGTATGTGTGTCTTAGGATCCTCCTTGTTTCTTAATATTTCTGGTGGTATGGGTTGTAGGCTGCTAATCCTTTGCTCCATGTCTAAAAACCATATATAGGTTCACAGTTACTGTCTTTGTCTTTTTGTGGCTGGGTCACCTCACTCAGGATGGTTTCTTTTTGTACCATCCATTTGCCTGTGAATTTCAAGATTCCATGGACTAGGAAACCAGCATAGGACTGAACCAGATTTCCTGAATGTGGTGTTAGTTGGGAGGATTGGACACTCTATGGGGTCTTTAGTAGTGGATCAGTATTTATCCCTAGTATATGAATGGACTTTGGGAGCCCACTCCACGTAGAGGGATACTGCATCAGACTAGACACATGTGGGAGGGCCTGTGCCCTTCTCCAAATGATATGACAGACTTTGAATATTCCCCCATGGAAGGCTTCACCCTTCCTGGGGAGCAGAAAGGGGATGGGATGGGAGTTGGTGGGGGCGGAAGGGAAGGATGGGTGTAAAGAGTAAGGTTTTCCTCCCCACCGCCGGACTGGTCCCACCACTGTGCCAGCCCCTAATAATACACAGAGACTCTGTATTTGATACTATGCCGTTGGCCAGTTACTTGTTTCTTATCGGCTAGCTCTGTCTTAATTATTAACCCATTTCTATGTATTTCCACGTGGTCTTACCAAGAGCGGAGGAATGGCAGTTCTGTTCTCTCCAGACTCTCCATCTTGATTCTTCCTTCCTACTTACCCTTTCCTCCTTGTCTCCTAGTCCCTCCTATCTTCCTTTCCTATTGGCCAACAGTGCTTTATTCATTAACCAGTATGAGAAACATATACAGAATGACATCTCTCATCAGATGGGAGGGTGCCAGAAATGGGATTGACATGTAAAACCAGCTTGTTTCAAATTTAAATTAAAAAAAAATTTAAAAAAAAATGAAGGATGCTTTAATTTTCAAAATAGTGTCAGAAAAGACAAAGTGTATATAGTAGCTACATTTCTACTTTAAAATCCGGTTACTTTGGGATGTGAGGCTGTTTGGGGGTATCTTATCTATATCCTGTCAAGAGTTTCAGACATTGAGAGATGTGGAAATAAAAAAATGTGCTGTTTCACTTTGACTCCCAGTGGTCTCAAGTTCTCATCACCGATACAAAGGAGTCTGTATGTAGTCTATGGCACAGCCTCACCGTTTCCTTCTTAATTAAGAGGCTACTCTATGTGAGAGGCTCTGCTGATTTACTGAAGGTTCTATAAGCACAATTATGCATCATTTTGGGAATCACACTCCAGCTTTTTTCTCAGAGTCTGACTCTGATCACCTCACTCCCTACCATCATGTCACTGCATCACTGCTAGGACTACCAACTTGTTTTTTTTTTTTTTTTTTTTTTTTTTTGTGTGTGTGTGGGGGGGGGAGGCTTTAATGTAATTTTCTATATTACTGTATTTGTGTGTGTTTGTTTATGCCCATGCACATATGTGTACACATGCCGTTGATACATGTGTAAATGTCAGAGGACAACTTCTGAGAAATGGCTCTTTCCTTATGCCATGGGTTGTGGGTATTCAAGTCAAGTCATCATTACTGTGCAGCAAACCTCTTTTACTCTCTAAGCCTTCTTGTTAGACCAACCATCATTTTTGGCTTTTATACTCCTTCTCACCTGAAATTCTCGCTATAAACTTAACAACATTTTGTATTGTCCCTGATACAGCTGTCAGTGAATTTGCCCAAAGCCTAGCTTTATATTGGTCCTCTGCTCACAAACAGAATAGAGCTTGTTTCTGTGCTGGCAGAGTAAAGATCACACTATATGTAGACTGATCCTAGGGCCTCTTTGTATTCTCTTTTGTCCCTTGTTTTGTTCTCTTAATAGTTACCTCATTCTCACCCCTTGGCTCTCACAATAAGATCACTTACCAGACATACATCAGCATTTCTCAGGAATGAGTTAAATAAACAAAGTTGTGAAGCCTACCAGTGGACTTCAGAAGTATAAACTGTGGTGGTGTCTAGTTCTCTGTCCTAACACACTATCTCTGTTTCAGCACACCAGCATCTTACCTTGTTCAAAGCTTTGCATGGAGTTCATTGACTACCTATGCCTATGTGTGCACCACTTTTCTGGCTGGCCAGCAATTAAGATCCCTGGCTGCTCTTCTAATAAGCCAGGGATCAATTCCCAGCATCCACAAGGCACCTCACAACCATTTGTAACTCCAGTCACAGGGAATCTGACACCCTCTTTGGCATCCTTGGGCACAAGGCAAGCATATGGTAAATAAACATGTACACGGTACTCAGACATACATGCAGGCAAAACATCCATATACTCCTTCTTTTATTCTGTCATTAATAGTGGGAAAGACTTCTATTAGGCATTCCTTAAGTCTCTGGTGTGCCTTCTTGTAGAGTTTTGCATGAAGTAACTGTGTCTCCTTAGAGTATAGTGCCCAACAGATGACATAGGAGCAGAGGCAAAAATTCTTGTTGGTTGATTATATGTGGCCTGTCAGGGAGAATGCTAGGAAATCTTGCATTTTTCCATACCAAGTTATTTCCCAATACAAAGACATGGTGGCTCCAGTGTTTATTGTGTTTTTACAATAGGGCATGTCTCTCTAGGTTGATAGGTCAGAGGGAAAGAGTGAGAAATCTAAATGTCTTTGTTTTTTCTTCTTTTCTTGTCTCCTCCCTTCACAGGCTCTGAAAGGGTTCCAGCTGAAGTTTCTGAGCAGACCAGTCACTGCAGCTCCCTAAGCTGAGTTTCCAAGCTGCCTGTGCATGCCATTGACCAGCTGCAGGATGGTGCCCGTGGCCAGGCTGCTGTCGCTGCTCCTCGCCTTCTTCCTCTGCGCCTGTGCTGAGAGTAAGCCATCCTGCCCTTCTCTAGGGAGCTGTGGCCATAATGAGTGGTTTTGTTTGCAGCTGGCACAAGACTCAGGCCTCTGAATTTATTTCCTTTGGAAGTATATCCTGAGACACCGTGGGATCCTCTTTGGCTCCCTGCCAGGCATTGGAAGAAATTATTGATGTGACTTTCCCACTACCTCCTCTTTTTTTTTTTAATGCCTCTTTGCTTGTGTGCTTAACTATTTCTACTGTTTATTTCAATTTCTATATGCTTTTCATACATCATACCAGCCTGTTGGCAAAGATAATATGAAACCAACAATATCCCATAAACTGGGGCTGACCAGTTGGTAGTGTCAATAAGTAAATATTGTTGAGACTCAGTAGAAATTTATGTAGTTGTATGGATATTTCTATGTTTAGAAAAATTTACAATGTCACATTGAGTCCAATTAAACTTGCAAGCCCCTTGTAGCTGTCACAGCAGCTGTTCTGATGTACTGTTTCCGACAGCTGTCGTGGAGTACAATATTCAAACAAATCAAGCAGAACTGACAACTTTGTGTCTGGGTGGAGGGTCTGGAAGTGGGAAAAGAATTCTGTGGAATGCAGACACTAGATTTTGTGTTTCTAGACTCGATTTGTGAAACTAGGATTGTGGTCAATTACTTTGCCAACAAATGAGATGATCATATCTCTTTGGTAACTAGCTATCATTAGTTCTACACTGTTTACATCTTTTTTTCCCATCTATTCTATGGCTTTTGGGAGACAATAGTGCCCATTCCTGGCACTTACTGGCATGTCATTTACTCAGGAGTGGTGTAGTTCATGTGTGATTTGGTCATCCTCTTGGGGAGTCCCCTTGTGTGATTAACATCTGTAACATCTGCAGTCATTAACTTTTCCCTTCACTGGCTGTCCCAGGGAGATTAAGTTTGATTCATGTTAAGGATATCTCAAAGACAAGGATCCTATGTCATCTTGGCCCTTTCTTATTAATTGCATCTTGACAAGAATTCCCTCACTAGCAGCCAAGGCTTCATTTAAAAAGGGCTCTATTTTCTAAAGCAATCTTTCAGGGAGGAAAACAATAATGTTATAATTGAATGCATATGGAACATGCATGTTCTAAGCACTACATTCTGTGGCTAATAATATATATAGTCTGCTAATTAGCACTTGGGAGTATTGGTTTAAGGGAAAGCCAAGGAATTTCTAATATCATGCCAGGAAATAATTAATTGGAGAAAGAACCAAATGTAAGGTATTGTTATTTTAAAGGCATTTATGTCAAAACTTATTTTAAAATCTAAATTTACTCTATTAGAAAGCAATTTAATATACAGCGTTGTGAATTCTGTTTTGGCCACAGTTCAGAAGTTAGTTGTTTCACCATTGTTCATTTTTGGCAAAAGCATATTAAGACCCTAGGAGCCCCCTTAAATGTCAGATCACAGCTGCATGTTTTTCTGGAACTTACTAGGTATGTATTTTATATCTGAGATGTCATCCTTGCAGTCAGTAAAAATAATCTTCTTTGGGGAAGCTATGGTTTTGCTTAATGCTGTGGTGGAAAACGGCAGACAGATGTCAAGAATTTGGGAAAAAGTATTGCAGAGATTATGTTTTGTTATACCACAGATGGTCATTTCTTACTTCGGCCTACCCTGTTTTCTGTTTCTCATTCCTAATCACAGATACTATATAATTATCTTAGTTTCCCTTCTATTGCTGTGATAGAATACTGACCCAAGCTTGGAACTTGGAAATGAAAGGGTTTATCTCATCTCACCAGTTTTGGTCCATCACTCAGGGAAATAATGGCAGGAAATCAAGGCAAGAACCAGGAGGTAGGAACTGATCCAGAGGCCTTGCAGGAATGCTGAGGACAAGCCTGCTTTCCATGGCTTGCTCAGCTTGCTTTTTTATACAGCCCTGGGCCACTTTCCTAGGAGTGGCACCACCCACATTAGGCTGGGGCATTCTTACATCAATCTTTAATCAAGAAAATGCTTCACAGACTTTCCTGCAGGCCAGTCTGACAGAGATGTTTTCTCAATCAAGGTTCCTTATTCTCAGATGACTCTACTTGTGTCATTTTAACAAAAAAAAAAAAAAAAAAAAAAAAAAAAAAAACCAAAACTGACATTATATCCATATTATGTTTCATAATATTATGCCATTCTGTTTTCTAAAAAATACATTAAAAATTTGAAAACTATGTAACACTCAAGAAATAATTGGTTTCATAGTCATGTAAAGATAATATTTTCAGGCTCTCATTATGCAGGTTGTGGTTTAGATTCCTTAACTTTTCATCAGGACATAATGGTATACTCTTTCCCCTTTCCCTGTATTGTATTATTCCAAGGTACTGAGTTATGATTCAAAATTTAAAAGTGACTTATCAGAGATGTTTGAGAAAGCTGAAAACCTTTTTTCTTTTGTAGAAAAGGATGATTGTGGATGGGGAATGAGAACTTACTGTAGTTATCCATGCTAATTTACTGCCTCCAGTTTACTTCCCTGTAAAATGATTGCCTCCAAAGAGCAGCATTCTATATTATAACTAGTTGTGGAGAAGGCCATAGCTAAGTATTACGTGTGGTTTTACATTAAGTACAAGAACACTTAAAGTCTTAGTTAAAATGTAGGTTGAGAAATTGTGATAATATTCCCTTAGAAAATTATAGTGTTTGTCATTGCCAATTTAAAGTGCTCTACTAGCCCACACAATTTCTCTAAAAGGCTAGATGTGTGTGTGTGTGTGTGTGTGTGTGTGTGTGTGTGTGTGTATGTATGTATGTGTGTTTACTGCTTTTTGTTATTGTTGTTGCTGTTTTTTTCTTTCCTTTATGTCTTGAGTGCTCCGGGTGATTTTGCTAGTTATTTTTTAAGTGTGTTTACATGAGAGAACTGGGTTCAAGAGTCAACTGTGACTTTTACTGAAGTAAAAGTGTGTAGCTCTTGCTGATGCTGGGCCAACAGGTTTAGTCCTTAGCGACAGCTCACACCTATGCAAATTAGAAATGCAAATTAGAGTTATATTTAGAATTTATTATTTCTAGTGCAAATTTCTTCTCATTTGTATTAAATATATCTTACATTTGAGATTCACTAGTCTTTTTTCCTTTCATTTTTTTCTTTATGTATCATGTATCAACAACCAGCTCTTGACATCTTGGATACTATAACCAGGTCTCAGTCTTTACCAGGCTTGTGATAGAATCATGAATCTTTATAGCTGAAGTCCTCAGATGGTTTACCTAATCTATTCTCAGTTGCTTTATCCTGGGTCTTCATCTTACATGGTGCTCTGTCTCTTGTTTTCTTTCCTCATGTAAGTACCTTTCTGAAGCCACTACACTTCATTCTTTTATCAAAACACTAGGCTTCCTGATCTCTGGGGAAATGTTCTATACCCTATGGAACTTAAAAAAATAATTCCTTTTCAGATAAGTGGATGGATTGTTCTGTATTCTATGGATTTTAAAATAAAATCCCTTTATGTAACAGTGGGAGAATTGTTTTATATCCTATGGAACTTAATAATTACTTTTCATATCATTGGATGGATTGGTACCTGTGCTGGAACATCACTGAAGTTTTACTTTGAATTCTGGCTGCCACTTCACTTGAAAATATTCTTTGTATTAGTCTTGTTTTTGGAATGTGAATGATGAAAATAACAGATGCTTGTGAAAGAATAATAGAATTCTCTAATACTTGAGTTTTTTGAGGTTGAACTAAATGAAATAAAACACAGGCCAGTTGGTGACCTGGAGTAGGTGTTTTAAAAATGGTTGTGTCACCTTCAACAGCCATCTTTACCAAGGACTTACCATAAGTCCAGTGCTGAAATTCTTCATTTGACCTGGAAACTATAACTCCTGGTGACGGAGAAGCCAGACCTTGCTGTGTGTTAAATTTGCTAGCCTGCTTCTCTGTGAAGTCCTAGACATAGAAGATCCTTATAAATCTGTCTCTGGAATTAAACTGAAGATCAGAAGAAGAAACATGAAACTTGTCTGCTTTAGGAAGCCTTTCTGAAGAAGCTCCTTTATAGAAACACCACTGTAAAAGCCATGTGGATTGGGTGTGATGGATATCAGGAGATGTTCCATCTGTCCTGTTGTTCATTTTCTTGGACTGTTCAGAGGGAGAAACTGGAGATTTTTACTGCAAACAAACACAGTATCACATGTCCAGTGGCCCAGAAAGAAGGTGGGCTTGAACATGCTGAGGAAGAGAGTAAGTGGCCATTAATATGCTCAGAAGTATTTTGTAACAAGAAGCCATTTAACTAAAGAGTTAGAAATTGATTTAATGGAATAGAAGATGAATATTTTTGTATTTTCAGAAGCCAGTAAGACACCTTCTCACATAAGTTAGGAGTGGAGTGGATACCTTTCCTGTTATTCACCTGCCCCTTTTCCAGAAGGCAGTGACCATTTCTACAAGGAATATTAATTTTTCATTGGCACATCTTTTGACTTTAGATTATGAATGTTCTCTTTCAGAGTCTCCAAAGTTACTACAATATCCTTTACAAGGTATTCTTTCTACTGAGGAAAATGTTCCAAACTTCCATTGTGTTGCTGATAGCACGGGGTATTAAGTCTGCAGATTATTCTTGGGTTATACATTTGAATTGGGTAGATTAGAGGACGGTTCAATTCTTCTTAAAATATTAAATGGAAACAAGAAAGTTGTTTCCAGTTGTTGAGCTAAGGTCCTTTTGGTCAGTGCAATCTGCAGTTGAGTCTGTTGGCTTTTCAGGGGAGGTAGAGAAAGCTGTGCAGGGAATCTATTTTCCTCTTTCTCTGAATTGACGGAGGTGTGTTCATCCAGAAATGCTGATTTTACTTGTTTCCCCCATTCCTTTATTTGAAGTGGATGTATTAGCAACAGCCAGCTGTGTGTCTGAGGCAAGGGAAACACCCCAGCTATTTTGCTGGTCCTTGGCTCTACTGTGGAATTTCTGTGGCTTTCTGAATTAATTACTCTCAGCAG